ATTGCATTATATTGCTTTAATTCTCATATTCTAACATGTAGGTCAGTAGATAAATACATTGAATGTATTAACTTGAAAATCAGTCCTTGATTCAGCATGTCTCTTTTACTTATTTATTAGAAAGCCGAATTTCATTCATTATTCTAGTGATTTCCTGAAGGTAGTTTCATGAGAATAATAGTCCCTGAGTTCTTGCATGTTCACCATTGTTTGTCTGTTCCCATTGTACTTGAAAAACCATTTAGCTAAAAAGAAAAGAAAAAAAACCTTAGTTCTCAATTTATTTTCTTTGGTTTCTTGTAAGCTTTGTTCCACTGATACTGAATGGCTCGATTCCACTAAAGTTGCAGTGAAGACTTCTGAGGCCAGTATCAGTATTTTTCTTTATAAGTTACTGATTGCTTTTGCCTGCATGTCTAAAAAAATTCTTTTTTTGTATTTAAATTCTAGTTACTGTACTAGGACACATCTCAATGTTGATGATTCTGGGGCAGTTTTTCCTGGTAATCGCTGTTTCTTTTCAAAGTGAAATTTCAAGTCATCTTTCATTTGAAGAATGTTTCTTTCTTTAATAATATATTTACATATTTATTTTCCCATCATTTATTTCTTTTCTCTAATTGTATATCTATTGGATTACCATTCCCTATCTTCTCCACCTTTTGTATTCTCTCTACTCCTGTGTAGTTTTTCTTTACTTGCATTTTATTTTGTTAGCCTTCCTCATTTCTGTCTCTTCTTTTCCTGCCTGTGTCTATCTCAGTGTGCATTTCACCTCGTAATTCTTCCATTTATATTCTTAATTCGTGAAGGTATTTTTTTTCTTCACTTCTTTTCTGAGTTTCTCCAGCTATGTGTCACCAGCTCCTATTGTCTGTCATCATCCCTTCCCAAGTTCTTGCATTTGTACCTTGTAGTTTTAATTTATAGAAGCAATTCCTTCATTGTGCCTTTTTGAAAATTTTTGCCGTAATGTTAGAACAAATTTTTCAACTTCTCCATGACAACATTGTTGTGGTGTGTGTTCTTCAACAATGGAAACATTTTACTACTCCTTTGCAAGTCTTTTCCTATACTGCTTTTGTGTCGACAGTGTGTCCATTCTTTCTTCAATTACTCATATATAACTGAGTTAAATTTTTCTCATCTAGGTTCTTGGGAAAAGGAGAGCAAAATAATATCTGGGGTTTTCAAAGGGTTTCTTTTCACTGCTGTTACAGAGATAGACTCACTCCTCTGCCTCATTTTTGTGTATCCCTCCATTACTTCCCTCAAGGCACATCCAAGTGGGCTTCTTTCACTAGCCACACTGATTGTTGGAAATTCCAGGTCCTACACTGATTGGTGCAAACAAGATATATAGGTTTCATAAGTCACAGTAAGATCTTAGCTTCAGAAATCATATTTTTGTAGGTTTCCTGAGATTAGCCACAACAGAGTCCTCTACATTTGTCAGGTTTCTTTCTTTCCTCCATTTGCAGCTATACCCCAACTCTAGTTCCTGAATCCATTGTTGTAATCGATGGAAATTGATTTTGTTCTTCTGAGTGAAACTGTCACTTTCAAGAATCTTTTTTTTTTTTTTTTTGCATATTCTCAAATTAGGTATCATTGGGCCCACTCTCTGCCCTTCTTTCTTTCTCTTCTGAAACTTCTGGTTGATCTCAGCAGTTCTGGGATCTCATATACAAATTTTGGAAACTGCAGATTATCTATCTTTTGATTTTACTGAAAAAAAGTTGTGACTTTTTTTCCTTTTGATTCTTTGGTACATTGTTTGGGAGGAAAAAGGGAAAATGCTCATTTTTGCCACTGTCTTTATAATAGATTCAGTCTATGCATTCAGCAGTGCTAATCATATAGTACATATATAATTTTTAGACGTGTCTGCAACCTCAGAAACATTTATTATTCTCCATTTTTCTCACTTTGAATAAAAGCAGATGTTTATTTTTTAAAGTTAAGGCTCACCAAAATTTTCTCTTGCCTAAAAAGTATCCACTGTATTATGTTACTACAACAAATGTGACTTTCTTAACTAACCCTTCAGTCTCCTCGTTTCTTCAGCAGCTCACATAAGGGCTGGTGATAGCAGAGGCTCATAATCTGTCTTCCTTTACTCCTAATCTTTTTGATGTCTATAACTAAATTATTAAATATTTATTCTTTAAGCTTGAAATTTGTCATGATCATCATTATTACTAGCACATCTTTCTTAGTGATAAAGCTTTTTTCATTCTATCACTGGACTCTTAAGCCTCACAAAGGCACAGTTAGCAATTTTCTTAACTGTGATATCCCTGGGACCTAACATATTGCCTGCCTACAGGGAGTGCTCATTGGATATGTGTTTAATAAACAGAGCAATGATATTTCCTTTGCTAACCAATATCTGGCACTCATGCAATATCAGCTCAAAGACAGGGTTTTGAATCCTTCTGATTTTAGAAAATTTCAGCATGAGAATTTGTTTTCAATTAAATAAGTTCAAAGGGTCAGGGTTTTAAAATTAAGCTTTTATTGTATTAATTCCTTAATTTTCCCATGGTGTAATGCTTAACACAGTACAACAGTAATAGAGATGTAGAAGGAGAAAGAAGCATAAAAGGGTAAGAATGCTGTAGTAAAGGTGACAGAGAAGTTTTCACCCAGGCTCAGAATCTACATTGAAACACAAGTCCTTCAACAGGAGAGTTCAATGCCATTCCATTGCTTATCATCCTGTTCTTGTCTCTGGTGGGCCAAGTGGCTGGGGATGTAAGCTGGAGGCAGGAGTTAGAAGCTTGCTTGCTCTACCCCAAACATCACCCTTTTCCTTTGCTTGGCTGTAAGGCATTATAGTTTGCATTTTTGTCTTTGCCATTTTAGAACCATAAAATGAGACTATAAGCTATTGCGTTATAGTTTCATAATTATAGGAAGAAAATAGCAAAAATTCTCAAAGGTAAATTACTTTAATAAGGAAGGGATGAGAAATATTTTAAATAGAAATGAGAAAACAGAGATTTAATTAATTCTTGGTAACCATCCTCTGCCCAAGTGGCCACTGGCATTTACAAAATTTATTGTTCACTTCTGTAATATAGGCACCACTGAGAAGACTTAGGGAGCTGAATGAATTGTAAGTCTTTGCAAACCTTTTCTTTCTATGGTCTTTATGGAAAGAATAACAGTGGGTTAATTTGCATGGTACACCTCTGGATCTCTGAAGACAGTAACACATGCCTTTTAAAAGGGAGGTGTATTCGAATAATTAGATGTTTGTTCCTAAATAAGGAGGTGGTTCTCTCATTCAGGTCATTGGGTAGATGTTGAACCAAATATTTTCATTAGCAGATATACTCAACAGGATAGAGTCTAGCAAGTTGATGCCACTCAGCCCATCAAGTAACACTTTATCTCCAACATTGTTTTTTCCTTCATGTGAATGTATACAGGAAAATCTAGAGGTTTTTAATCAATATTTAGGTATGGCCTATTGCACTGAAAATGTTTTTCCACATTCCATTTACAGTCAAGAGAGCACTTTTTAAAATCTGAGAACATTTGTTATATAAGACACACATGTAAAACGAAATGCCTACTTTATTTATTCTAGAGACTATGATCCTTTAGGCTTTTAAAAAAATGATTCCACCAACTGAAGGATTACTTCATTTAAAAAAAAATTTTTTTTTTAAAGCAACACAACCAGCCAGCCAAACAAAATCAGAATCTCTTTCCCTCCTGGGAATGTCTGGGAATAATTAGCTCACCTTATGTGTTATGTTATTTGAGGAGAGTTTTACCAGGCTTTTTTTTTTCTAGTCATATCTTTTAGACACATAATCTACTTGCTCCCTGTCTATTCCCAATTACCACGTGAAAATTATAAAGTAAAATTACGGCTCACGGAAATCAGTTAATAATGTTCAGTTGTTTTTATATTTACTGAATGTGTGTTAATTCACCCTCTCGATCTCGCGCGTGTATCTGTCCTCAGTACAATATCTATTTGCATGCACCTCTTTGTAGTTTGCGAATATACAGGATTGATTTAGAGTCAAATAGAGCAAAAGAAAATCCACACTACGAAAGCGGGACCAACCCTAGGAAAATGCAGGGGGAAATGAAAACCTCTGTGATAAAGAGATTCAGAGATCTTTCAATCCCTAGGTTTTTAGGATGTTGAGAAAAGGGAGGAAGGAAACCAAGACAGAAAGTAATGGGGCTGTCACTATGCCCTTCACACTTACAACCTTCCTAGATCATTGAGAACACGGTCCGAGGCAATTGGGTCAAAATGATATATGTATATATTTCTTTTTTTTACCTCTTTAGCTGGTCAACCCCGGCAGTAAACAACCAAGGCCACCACTGCCCAGGCAACAGCTCCAAGGGGCAGGCGATGGTTGCCGGCGTTGAGCTCCCTGCTGGCGCCTTCTGGCGGGACAGCCGGTGCCAAAGAGCGGCCAGGGAAACAAACACCAAAGGGGGAGTATACAGATGTCATGGATGCACATGTAGGATCATAATCTGTCCAGAAAGCGGAGAGAAGGAGGGCGACAGGCTACGGGATCCTGGTCCAAGAGCCGCCGCAATGGAGCGGGCGGCGGTGTGCGCGCACAGGTGCCACAGGCCGGTGGCCCGGCGAGCTGTAGCGGCTGCCTCCCGGACTCAGCACTCGCACCAGCGCGCTGAAGCCGTGGCTGCTGCCAAGCTTGGGTAACCCCCAGCCTGAGCCACGAGAGGAAGAGCCCAAGGAAAGGGCGCGAAGGGGGAAGAAGGGTTGGGTAGAAGGAGGGCGAGGGAGAGACCCATGGCCTCATCTTCCATTTCCCCTCCCGAGCTCATCTGGTGGGAACCTTTGCTGTGCTCCTGCGCGCCTCCCTCCCCACCCCCTCAACTCTGGGCGACCATCTCCCCCTCTCCCCTCGCTCACCCCCCACCCTTCCTGCTTTTCCGTCTCTCCCTACCGCGTGCCTCCTCCCCTCCCCCTCGCCCCCCTCCCCTCCAGCAGCAGTAGCTGTAGCAGCTTCAGCGAAGCCGGAGATGGGCAGAGAGCGCGCGCGGCGCAGCAGCTCCAGATTCACTGCTCTCCCCTGCAGCTCCCCGCGCCCCCGTCGCTGTCGCCGCCTCGGTGTCCCCCAGCTCCCGTCGCGCTCTTAGGACAGCGCCGCCACCGCCGCCTGGCCCTGCCTGCCTCCTGCGCCGCGCAGCCCTCGCGAGCGCCCCGGATGGCGCTTTACCCCCAGGACTGGTGAGTAGGCGGGAGAGTGCCGGGGGTCGGGCTTCAAAGCTTGGCGCGGAGAGAACATCTTTTGATTTGGGAGGCACCCCAAACCAGCTGCTGTGATTCTCCGTCCTCCAGGCAGAGGGTCCAGGGAGGGTGCTGCTCTGTGGTCCCCAAGGGGATGTTTGATTTCAACTCCACCTGCTGGCAACCTGAACCCCTCTCCCTCTCGGGGACAGCTGCCTGCAGCTCACAGTCCCGCCTCACCTTCCAGCCCCCAGGCTCCCACACCAGCAGCAGCAGTAGATGGCCCCGACCCTCTGGTCACCCCAAACAGGGTCATCTCTACTCTTACCGTCCCTGCGTTCCTACCTTATGCCAGTGCGCAAACGCCCCCATCTGCCACCCTTCACCGGATCTCGCGCTGACAAAGCCTTCTCCACAAAGTCCTCCCTGACCCACCTTCTCGCCTTCCCCAAAGCCTGGCTCGCGAGCCCTACTGCCCCGTCCTATTCCTTCCCAGGGTGAATGGTGTTCGGTGAATTCTGAGCTCATTCCCTCGACACAATGGTGCCTCTCCAGATTTTCTGACAGTCACCTCAGGAAATTGACACAGACACGCTGTGATCCTGGCTTCCGTACAGTTACTTTGTGTGTTACTCAGTACCTGGGCTGTTAAGGGTATGATCAAGCATGAAAAAATAAAGACAGAAAACAAACCCTTTGGAACCAAACTTTTTGTCATTGTTGTTTTAAAGCGCAGAACAATTTGCATTGCTTTGGTTTGTTCTGTTCATTGAGAGGCGTCTTAGCTGAGTACAGGAAACACACCTATTTTACCTGTTCCTGCGGAATTGGTCTTACTTCCAGGTTAAGAACGGAGCACCTGCCTGGGCGGGGAATCTCTTTCAGCAGCAACACTATCAAAAGCTCAGCAACGCTTGAGGATAAGAAGCTTTTTCTTGAAGGAGATGAGAGTAGCACCAAACTTACCCTTTAAAATCTTCTTTGAAATTGCAATCAGCCAAAGCTCTTATTTTTCTTTAGGTGTAGTGGCTAAAACAGGGATATAGGAGGATTAGAAAACGTTGTACCAGGAAGCTCCTGCACTATTTGGGTGCTTCTGGAGTTGTGTAGTATCTTAGCACCAGACGGTATTCCTGTAGAAGTTTTCTTAGGGCAGTAGTCATTTCTTCTGAAACCATGTTTACTGTTTTATGATTTCCAGTTGGAGTGCGAGAAAATAGAGTTGTGTTCAATGAATGAATATGAGCAAGGGGGATGGAGGAATAAGTGAACATCGGGAGGGGTCAGTTAAATAATAAAATTTGTGCTCTCAATTTCTCATGTACTGAAATCTTAAAAACAAAACTACCCCACACAATTTATGGCTTAATATTTTAGAGAAATGATAAAAAGACATTTATTTCAACGTGGCATTTTACTCCATGGAACCCTTGGTCATAGGACTTGTGTTCTAAGCAATATGGATAAGTATATCCAGAAATAAAGGTTAGGAACTTTAAAAGGTGGCCCATTGTGTCAATATGAATTTCCTGATATTATTATCACTAGAATTTGATGGGAATGCGAATTAAAGTGCCATTCTTGCTCTTGCAGTTGGTGGAGAGAGATGTATGCTTCATCACCTTAAAGGAGCAAGTCTCAGGCTATATAAGAAATAGGAGGGGACAGTTGAACCATCATCTAGGGAATTTGTTAGTGAATATTGCCTTAATACCTTCTCCAATGTCAGGAATTTTTGTTGGTTTGTTTTCATTCAAACTGCATCTGAGCTTTTATTTCCCTGTTGTGTAGACATAGGCAAAAATGCACTGAGCAAGTCCACTGACAAGGGATGGTTTAAGTAAATGTGGATAGCTGCACTAAAAGTCAAGAGGGGCTGTGAATAATGACTTTACTGTTGGTTTTCTAAATTTGAAAATTTTAGTTGGTTATATTTAGGGCTTGACTAAGAACATTCAAAGCTGTATTTAAATTTGTAGTTGCTGCAAATATCCACATGTGGCCATGACATGAAGATAGTAGGTATGTCAGGAGCTGAATCAAAAGATTATTTGATTATTTCCATACATATGTTTAACATTTGGGTAACAGTAGGGTGACTACTATGCACAGTATATCCAACAGTAATTAATCTGTATTGGGACTGATACATCCTAAATTGAAAGCAAGGTATAATACTTTGATCAGTTATTGCCCATAATCATGTTAATGATAAATTAAAGTCAATGTATTCTAACATAATTCCAATTAACATGAAAATATTAACAAGGTCTCAGAATTATCTGTGAGAATGCAAATAACTAGTCAGCCAAAAATTATGGCAAGAATTTCTATAAAGAATTACTGGTGAGCTGAAAGTCAAGATCTGCCAGGATTTAAGGTCATTGTCATTAGTAAGACAGACTAAACAGTTAAATATAACATATGGGGAGGTAAGGCACACCAATATTGGAATGGCATATCTTTAAGTACCATTGAACTGTATCTTATAATGCTCATAATCATATGCCACCTAGAGGATGATGGTTTAAATTAAGTATTTGCAATGTTAAATATAAATTAAACATTATAAAGATAAATTTAAAATTATGGAAATTATATAGGTTATTCTATCAACAAGTTGTTGTTAGTTGAATGTTTCTTGTGAAACCATGTTTTGCCTTGTGTGTGATGAAGAGAAAGAATGATTGAGGAAGAGAGAGCTGCAGGAAGGGAGACATAGAGGGAAACACTTCAACCCCTTGGAGACTGGCTTAAATTATTTAATCCAATTAAGGTAACTAAATACAAGTTCTATTATTTTGGTATTTGGGATAACAACTGTTTTCCCGCTTGAATTTTAGGATATGACTCCTTAATTATAGCAATAAAAATATAAGTTTTTTAAAATAAAGTCTTTTATTACTTTTATTTAGTAAAATCTGAGCATCAAAGGCAAACTATTTTGTGTAATCTAATTGATGAATTAAACTAAATAAAATTCTAGACAAATTTATAAAAATACTTTGAAAAAGAAAGCACACATACCCACACCTCACACATACCTAAAATTACGATATTAGATACAGAGCTAAACAATTTAGTGTCTTATGAAGGCAAAAGGATTCAAAGGATAACCACATACAATATTTTTATACTTTAATATATATTTTTTATATTTTCTTTTTCATTGTGGTGGATGCATTATTACATTTTTATAAGTATTTGCATTTTATTTATAAATTCATGTCTATATTATAAAATGCAAATTTTATAAATTCAAATAATCCCCAAATTACACTTGTAAGTATAAAATTATTACATAAATGTTCATAATTTTGCTTTCTATCTTGCATTCTGGAGGGAGTATTCAGCAGAACGCATTCTCAAAGAGCAAATATGTAAAATGAATATTTCAGAATAAACGTGATGATTCAACCAAAGTTTTACAACAATGCTATAAAGTGATACTCTCATAAACTCTAATGTACAATTAAAATTCCTTACAGATACATTTAAATTGTGTGATTTTTTTACCTGTGACTGATTGTGTAAAACACAATTTTATTCATTTAGCTGTAAATGGGATGCTTGGCATTCTTAATAGAGTCACAGCATTCAGATGTTGATTAGAAATATAGAGAGCATTCTATTTCTATTACTCTAATGACTTGCTCAAGGTTGCAGAGTGGTTAAGAGAAACGGAGTTCAAATCCTGGTCTCCTGACTCCTTGCTGTATTTGTCTTCTATAAAATAAAAAAATTTTTCCACTTATTTTATTTTAAGATATTAATAAAGGAGAAGTTAGTATTAATGTTAAAGAAATCTGAAAATAAAATGAAATAAAATGTCTGTGCTTCTTCAAGGACCATCTCAATGCTTAGTCTTCCAACACACCATAGTTAAAGGTAATCAGTCAACCAGACTTCTTCATTCACTCCCACCTTCAGGTTAAAGCTTGGGAAATATTTAAAAATTAAACTGCAACTAGCCCACTTAAAAATCTTTTAACATTTTTGCACAATTTTTATTAGAAATTCCTCACTTATGCAGTGTAAGTCTTTTCATGTTAATAGCATGTCATGGACGCTTCCATATAAACTTTTATAGACAATTGACTGAAAAGTACTCCTAAAAAACAGGTTTTAGTTTCTGTAAACAAAATACACTTGTTTCATTTCCATGCTGATTCAATATTTATGTTATCACAGATAAAGTTTCATATCCATATGTTTATTTATTTTTAAATTTTTACCTCCATAGACTGTGAATTGCTCAGGTGGTCAGGGAAGGTAAATTTGTTTCACAAAATTCCAGGCCCACAGATGAAAATCCTGGCACTTTTAGCTTTCTCTTCACTGATAGCCAGAGGGATCAATGAAAGTGAATGACTAAATCAATGGGAAACCATCATCATTAATGCGTAAAAAATAAGCTCTCAAATGTATTCTTGGTGATGGTGGCTCATCACCATGATTTCATCTAGGAAGAATAACATGGTGACGTATTTTGATATCTCAATTACATTTTCTGGAACAATACTGTATTATCTAAACGTGGTTGGATTGATGTAAACTAGGGGAATCAGTGATCTTGTACTGCTGGGTGTCTGGTTCAAAAGCTGAGGCATTGATCTTAGGCATTGGTCTTCTTATAGCGCATTAAGATGCAAATATGGCTGAAAGGAAAACTACATCTCTAGGGCTCCCCTGACATAGTTTCTTTAGAGTGTAATTCAGCCTCTCTTTATTGAGGGCCTATGGGGCAAGAACTGAAGTGATGATGGCAGGCACAAGAGTAAGTATGATTTAAACTCTGACCCCAAGCAGCTTAAAGTTTAAGTGGAGAAACCAGCAAGAACAAATAGAAAGGAGTGATGAGACACCAGCTGCTTTAACCTAGGGAATGTCACCTTGGTATTAAACAAGGGTGTCCAGGAAAAACTCAAAAAGACCAAAAATGAATAAAAATCTGTCTTGTGTAACATGGATCTAGGCATGCCGTGGCTAAGGCTAGACAACAAAAATGATTTAGTTCCTTAAAAAAAGCAAGTTTCCATTGCTTTCTATATTAATTTTAACTATGACAGAGATTTTTTTTTTTTTTGGACAATGCTGGAACCTATTAGGAGAATGAACATAGGTAGTCCCAAACTAACAAATTCAGTGGTTGATTCAGTCCTTGGAGGTCACAGGGTAATCTGTTAATGGAAATGTAACTAAGTATATACTTTTACAGTAAGTAGGAAATGCTTACCTTTTAAGAAACTTAAATCTTCAAGGAATATTCACAGAGAGGTACATGCAGAGGATGCAGGGAAGGAGGTTATGAACAGTATATGTAATATCTATTTCATAATCAAAGGTTTAAAAACCACTTTAATAAGTTAGACAACCTTAAAAGGTATTTGTAATTATCTATATTTTATTTACTCTGGTGAATATTTATTGAACAGTTTCTATTCAGTGATAGAAAAGGAGGATGACATATAGTTGGGATGATAAAATATATACTCATTGAGTAATTTGGGAGAAGTATATGGCAGCATTTAAATAATATGTA